ATAGTCCAACTCGGGAAGGGGCCATACTGGACCTGGTGTTGGGGAATGAGCCTGGCCAGATGGTTGAAGTTTCAGTAGGGGATTACTTTGGGAATAGTGATCACAATTCCGAAGTTTTAGAATACTGGTGGACAAAGGCGAGAGTGGTCCTAAAGGTAGAGTGCTGAATTGGGGGAAGGCCAACTATAGCAAAATTCGGCAGGAGCTGGGGAATGTGGATTGGGAGCAGCTGTTTGAGGGTAAAATCCACATTTGATATGTAGGAGGCTTTTAAAGAGAGGTTGAATAGAGTGCAGGACAGACATGTCCCTGTGAAAATGAGGGATAGAAAGGGCAAGATTAGGGAATCATGGATGACAGGTGAAATTGGGAGACTAGCAAAGAGGAAAAAGGAAGCATACGTAAGGTCCAGGTGACTGAAAACAGACGAAGCTTTGGAAGAATATCGGGAAAGTAGGACCAATCTGAAACGAGGAATTAAGAGAGCTGAAAGGGGTCACGAAATATCTTTAGCGAACAGGGTTAAGGAAAATCCCAAAGCCTTTTATTCATAAATAAAGAACAAGAGGGTAACTAGAGAAAGGGTTGGCCCACTCAAGGACAAAGGAGGGAAGTTACGCGAGGAGTCAGAAAAAATGAGTGAGATTCTTAATGAGTACTTTGCATTGGTATTCACTGAGGAGAGGGACATGACGGATGTTGAGGTTAGGGATAGATGTTTGATTACTCTAGGTCAAGTCAGCATGGGGGGGGAGGTGTTGGGTATTCTAAAAGGCATTAGGGTGGACAAGTCCCCAGGTCCGGATGGGATCTATCCCAGGTTACTGAGGGAAGCGAGAGAGGAAATAGCTGGGGCCTTAACAGATATCTTTGCAGCATCCTTGAGCACGGGTGAGGTCCCGGAGGACGGGAGAATTGCTAATGTTGTCCCCTTGTTTAAGAAGGGTAGCAAGGCTAATCCAGGTAATTATAGACCGGTGAGCCTGACGTCAGTGGTGGGGAAGCTGCTGGAGAAGATACTGAGGGATAGCATCTGTTTACATTTGGAAGAAAATGGGCTTATTAGTGATAGGCAGCATGGTTTTGTGCAGGGAAGGTCATGTCTTATCAACTTGATAGAATTCTTTGAGAAAGTGACAAAGTTGATAGATGAGGGAAGGGCTGTAGGTGTCATATACATGGACTTTAGTAAGGCGTTTGATAAGGTTCCCCATGGTAGGCTGATGGAGAAAGTGAGGTCGCACGGGGTCCAGGGTGTACTAGCTAGATGGATAGAGAACTGGCTGGGCAACAGGAGACAGAGAAGTGGAAGGTGGAGAACTGTGACCAGTGGTATTCCACAGGGATCCGTGTTGGGACCACTGTTGTTTGTGATATACATAAATGATCTGGAGGAAGGTATAGATGGTCTGACTAGCAAGTTTGCAGATGACACGAAGATTGGTGGAGTAGCAGATAGTGAAAGGGACTGTTGGAGAATGCAGCAGAATATAGATAGATTGGAGAGTTGGGCGGAGAAATGGCAGATGGCGTTCAATCCAGGCAAATGTGAGGTGATGCATTTTGGAAGATCCAAATCAAGAGCAAACTACACGGTAAATGGAAAAGCCCTGGGGAAAATTGATGCTCAGAGAGATCTGGGTGTTCAGGTCCATTGTACCCTGAAGGTAGCAACGCAGGTGGATAGAGTGGTCAAGAAGGCATACGGCATGCTTTCGTTCATCGGACGGGGTATTGAGTATAAGAATTGGCAGGTCATGTTGCAGTTGTATAGGACTTTGGTTCGACCACGTTTGGAATACTGCGTACAGTTCTGGTCATCACATTACCAAAAGGATGTGGATGCTTTGGAGAGGGTGCAGAGGAGGTTCACCAGGATGTTGCCTGGTATGGAGGGCGCTAGCTATGAAGAGAGGTTGAGTAGATTAGGATTATTTACATTAGAAAGACGGAGGTTGAGGGGGGACCTGATTGAGGTCTACAAAATCATGAGAGGTATAGACAGGGAGGATAGCAAGAAGCTTTTTCCCAGAGTGGGGGACTCAATTACTTGGGGTCACGATTTCAAGGTGAGAGGGGAAAAGTTTAAGGGAGATATGCATGGAAAGTTCTTTACGCAGAGGGTGGTGGGTGCCTGGAATGCATTGCCAGTAGAGGTGGTAGAGGCAGGCACGATAGCGTCATTTAAGATGTATCTGGATAGATATATGAATGGGCAGGGAGCAGAGGGATACAGATCCTTGGAAAATAGGTGACAGGTTTAGATAGAGGATCTGGATCGGCGCAGGCTTGGAGGGCCGAAGGGCCTGTTCCTGTGCTGTAATTTTTTTTGTTCTTTGATCTTTGTTCTTTGTTCTGGACTATAGTTCTAATTAGATATTGCACCATGCATCGCTGGCCTCAGCTTTAGGCGCACACAGAATTTATCAATGTTTGGGTTTCCTAGAAGATGTTTGTCAAAGTTTATTCTCCCTGTGACACCATGTCGAAATTTGAAATTTGTTGTGAATTCCACCACCCCCCCACCGTGCGAACTGAGAGTGGAGATGGGGGTGGGGAGGCTATGAGAGTGGAAGCAATGCTGTTATAATTTAGTCACAGCTGCTTGGCAAATATTGCCTCAGAGCTTGGGACCCCAAGATTTCCTCTTTGTGAAGTCCTGTCCTCGGATCTGCGTCCACATAAGATTTAAAAAATGTGTTTGTTGGAAATGGGAGGAAGCCTTTCAAGGCCTTGAGCTTGTTCTGCAATTGAATTCACATCATGGCTGATCTGTATTTTTCTTCCATTGCTTCAATTTCCTCAATACAATTACCTGCCACGTATCAATATCAGTTTTGCAATTTTCAACAATTGGGAGAGAGGGTTCCAGATTTCCACATCATTTGGATGCAGAAGTATTTCTTGACATTGTCCCGGAGTTGCTGCTCTAAATTGGTGAAGTCCATCACTCCAGACTCTCCCACCAGATGAAACATAATAGTTTTCTCGCTATCAAAATATTTAATCAACTGAACCTTCATTCAATCACCCCTTAGCCTGCTAGATTTGAGGGATTAGATTCCTGTGTAATTTGACATCAAAATTTAACCCGTAAAGGGGGTTAAAGGAAGCTTTATTTTTCATTCATACATGGGATATGGGTGTTGCTGGCTCAGCCAGCATTTGTTGCCTATCCACAGTTGCCCTGCAGGAGGGGGTGGTGGACTGCCTTTTTGAACCATCGCATTTCTGTGTGGTGTAAGTACACTCGCAATGCTGTCAGGGAGGGTGTCCCAGGATTTTGTCTCAACAACAGTGAAAGTATGACAATGTATTTCTCAGACAAGATGATGGGTGGTTTGGAGAGGAACTTGCAGGGGGTGGCATTCGACATATCTGCTTCTCCTGTGCTTCTAGGCGGTAGAGATTATTGATTTGGAGGGACACTTGGTGAGTTTCTGCAGTGTATCTTGTAGATGATATACACCACTGCCATAGTACATTGGTGGTAATAGGAGTGAATGTTAAAGGTGGTAGGTGGACTACCAATCAAGCAGGCTGCTTCGTCCTGAATGGTCTTGAATTTCTTGAGTCTTGTCGGACCTGCACTCATCCTGATAAGTGGAGAATATAATAACACACTCCTGTCTTGAGTCTTCTAGCTAGGCAGGCATTGGAGAAACAGGTGGTGAGCTACTTGTTGTAGATCTCCTAACCTCTGAGTTTCCTTTGTAGCAGCAGCATTTATATTGCTCGTCCAGTTCAGTTTCTGCCACTGGTAACCCCACCATGTTGATAGTGGAAGAATTAGCAATGGCAATATCGTTGGATACCCAGAGAGACGGTAATTCTCTCTTTTTGGAGGTGGTTATTAAAAGTAGTTGAATGTTGTTTGTTTTGCATGTTTAGTCAGTGCAATCATAAAGAGCTGAAAGAACAAACTTGCAATTATAGATCAGCTGCTCAGGCCCTTTTTATTCTAAAATTTTTTCACAGTTTCATCAATAGTAACTACGTCAAATAGTACAGGAGCAGTAATATTCAAAGTACAGTTTATACAGTGTAGTAAACACAACAGGCACTTTATGCACAACAAGCTCCCACAAAACAGCAGATGGGTGGCTAGACCTTCTGTTCTTGACTTGTTATTCGAGGGAGGAACATTGGCTCAGACTCCAGAATGTGCTGATCTTCAAGGTCTGTGATTTAACAGAGCTGTTCAAATGTGAAGGTTTGGATACGGTAAACATAGTGTCTTTTGTACCTGCAGGTGGGTTAGTAACCAGAGGATTCCGATTGATAACTGCAGAAAGGAGAATTCTGTCTCTGACACATCCCATCATTATGTTTAACATCACGTGCTGCCCAGTGTGATTTCATTGACTTCGAACACACTTGATTGCTCCATCCTTCAGTCCGCTGGCAGCTAGGAGTAACTGTCCCAACAACCACTTCATTACAGTGATTGCATCCAGTTTTAGGACCTCAGGCATGCACTGAGGAGGACGGATAAGAGAAGGAAAGCTTCTTTATGCAGCAAGTTGTTGTGATCTGGAATGCAATGTCTGAAACAGTGGGTGAGGCTGACTCCATAGTGATTTTCAAAGCAGCATTATTGAAAGTACAGAACAATGGAGTAAGAGCAGGGAAATGGAGTACTTGTGATGCCAAGGCATAGAGGCAACTTGCGGAGTGCTGGGCAATGGGATTTGATTGAGGGTTGTTTTTTGACTGGCGTGGTCATGATAGGCCAAAAGGGCCTTTTTCTGTACTGTCAACCTCTGACTTTGTTAATAAGCAGGCACCTTGGACCGAGTGACCTCTCCTGCATTAGAAAAAGTGGGATCCCTTACATCCATCTTGACAGGTAGCTTAATGTTTCATCGGGAATACATTACAGCACCTAATATGATGCAGTGTCAGCCTGAATAAATGCTGAAATCCTGCTGTGGAACAGAAAGCCGAGAGTTTCTGGCTTGGAAGCTACCATTAATGCCAGCGAGATGTGAAGGAATCAGAGATTGAGTGTGATCAGAGCACAGTCACTGATGAAATTTCTATGTGAGATACTCTGTACTCCTCTCACTTACTATGGGCTGTGAGGATCATGTGACTGCTCAACGTGAAGGGCTGATATTTGATGCAGACCATATTTTTCGCTTTAAGGTTAAATCTTTGCAACCTTTGCAAAATCCTTTTGCTGTGCTTTTTTTTAAAAAAAGAATGCTTGATTGTCAATAAGAGTTCTGCTTTTTAAGCAGGATGTTTTAAAATTCCTTTCCATTGTGCACTTGAGGTCCTGTGACTGGGTATGATCAATACTGAAGTCATGGATTGCTGACTGCACCCTGGCTGTGACTGGACTGAAATGTGTCAGCTTCTGCTGAGGAAGCACCCTGTAAACGGGAAGGAAAATCTCACTGCAGTGTCACATGATAATAAACTGAACAGGATCAGAGAGGAGACAGCTCCTGGTTGTGCAAGCATCTTGGAACACGTCTGGATTATTAGCTGCACTCTTTGTTTATTTCCAGCTGCATATTTTGCTTGCATCCTTTCAGTTGCTGCAACGTTAATTCATCCTGCGAAACTCTGAGACTTTCAGTGACGCGAGGTGCAACCTAAATGTAAGTATTTATCTGTTTTGTACTTGTATACCACTGGTTAAAAATGATATGGCGATTCCCTGATTTAGGGACACTTCGTGAAGTGGTGGAGGTGTTTTTTTCTAATGCTAATCTCACTTGAATGGGAATTGGTAAACCTGACGTTGTGGAGCCTTGGTGCCAACACGGCTGAGATAGCATTTTTAACTGTTGCGCGTTCCTGGGCAGCGTCCCATATGAGAGAGCTCCTCCAATGTCAGCAGCATTGGTCATTTGAATAGGGCAGAAAAATAGGGGAGAGAGGATGGGTGATCCCCTAGTGAGGCTGGATGTGGGTTACAGACAGCTTAGGGCAAGGGGTCTGTAGGGGTGGATTGGGCACCACATTCAGAGGGAGAGGAGGCTGTGGGTGGATGTGAATTACAGGGTAGTTCATGATGCGAAATGCAAGGGGTTTAACCTGGATGCGATGGAAATCTCCAGTGCAATTCAGGCAAACAGAAGTGACAGGACATCACACCAAGTTGTCTCTGTAACTTCTTGTTATGATTGTAGTCTCTCTAATCCCACCTATTCAACTCTAGGCATTGGGAAAGAAGTACAAATAGATTATAAATACGTAGAGGATGATCATACATTTTGTGCAAATATCTTTTTAAAAAATCATTCCCTTTGAACATTTTGAATCAACTGAGTGAAGATCAGTTAAAGTAACACACACTGAAAATTAAGATAAACCGTTTTAGATTTGTTCAATCTCAGATGCTGTGTCAGACTAACAGAAGCCTTAAACTGCAGAAATTTAAATTCTTTTCCTTTTCCCTGTACTAGCTGTGGAGTTTGACCTTGTGGACCTGTCACCATGTCTGAGGCAGCTGCTGTAAAGTTCAGAGTATTCACTCTTAATTGCTGGTAAGTCTTGATCCTTTCCTGCTGTTTATTACACAACCAGATCTGCATTCAGATTACACCATGAGTGTTTGAATGCGTAATGAACTTTACCCTTTGAATCTACCTCATCTTTGTTTCACCCTGGTTGCTTGGTTTTTTCAGGCAGTCCCTGCCATCCCATAACATTGTATAAGAGCAGTGTTTTGCAGCCCTTTAGATAATACACCAAAGATGCAGAGGAAAGATGAGGTTTTTTTTGTTATTCAGCGAATTATGGCCTGGACTGCACTGAGTGAAAGAGTATGCGAGTAGATTTGATAGGATTCCCAACAAAAATTGATTCAGTACATGAAGATGGAAAAATTATAGGGCTATGGGTAAAGAGTAGATGAGTCACACAGACACCACATGGCCATTTGACCTCTCCTGTGACCTTTGTCTCTAATTGGATAAACTTGGTTGTCACAAGAGGACCATTTTAGCCCCGCATGTTAAGGTTGTAGACTTGCTCACCGAGCCGGTGTGTTTGATTGCAGACGTTTCGTCACCCTGCTCGGTAACATCGTCAGTGTGCCTCTGGTGAAGTGTTGGTGTTCTGTCCTGCTTCTTATTTATATGCCTCAGTTTACTGGGGTGATTGACATCACTTCTGGTTCTGTATGTCGGGTCCAGTTCAATGTGTTTGTTGATGGAGTTCCGGTTGGAATGCTAGGCTTCCAGGAATTCCCTGGCATGTCTCTGTTTGGCTTGTGCTATTATGGATGTGTTGCCCCAGTCGAATTCATGTCCTTCTTTGTCCGTGTGTATGGAGACCAGTGAGAATTGGTTGTGTCTCTTGGTGGTTAGTTGGTGTTCATGTATCCTTATTGTCAGTTTCTTCCAGTTTGGCCTTTGTAATGTTTCTCACAGTGTTTACATGGTATTTTGTATATTACGTTACTTCATCAGTAGCTGTCACAGGGTGGCTGTTGGTTTGTGGGCTATCCTGATATTTAGAAGTCTTGTGGTCATCTCTGATATGTCTCTGATGTACAGTAGGGTGACTAGCGTGCCTGGCCGTGTTGTGTCTTATTGTGGTCTGTCACTGAGGTAATGGCGGATTGTACGTTTTTGGTATCCATTCCTTTTAAAGACTCCGCATGAGAGGTCCTGTTCTGTGCGCAATTCCGTGTTGCTGCTGTGTGTTGTGGCTCATTTGAATAATGTCCTGATGCAGCTCCATGTGTGCGGATACAGATCAGATACTTAATTACACCAGCAACCAAACCAACACCTGATACAGCTCCGGTTATGGGTGTTGGTTTGGTTGCTGGTGTAATTAAGTATCTGATCTGTATCCGCACACATGGAGCTGCATCAGGACATTATTCAAATGAGCCATAACACACTGCAGCAACCTGGAACTGCGCAAAGCAGAAAAGGAGCTCTCATGCTGAGTTTTTAAAAGGAATGGGTACCCAAAAAGTACAATCCGTTGTTATCTACGCAACAGACCACAAGAAGAAGACACAGCACCGGCCAGACGCATTAGCCACCCTACCGTACGTTAGAGACATATCAGAGATGACCATAAGAATACTCAGACCCCTAGATATCAGGATAGCCCACAAACTAACAACTACCCTACTGCAGCTACTGATGAACGTAAAGGATTTCATAACCACAACCAATAAAACTAACGTCATATACAAAATACCATGCAAGGACTGTGAGAAACATTAGAAAGGCCAAACTGGAAGAAAACTGACAATAAGGATACACGAACACCAACTAACCACCAAGAGACAGGACCAGTTTTCACTGGTCTCACTACACTCGGACAATGAAGGACATGAATTTGACTGGGACAACACATCCATAATAGCACAAGCCAAACAGAGACATGCCAGGGAATTCCTGGAGATCTGGCATTCCAACTGAAACTCCATCAACAGACACATTGAACTGGACCCGATATACAAACCTCTGAGAGAATCGGAAGTAATAGCAACCACCCCAGCAAACCGAGGCATATAAATAACCAGCGGGACAGAACACCAACGCTTCACTGGAGGTGCACTGACGATGTTACCGAGCAGGGTGACGAACGTCTGCAATCAAACACACCGCATTGGCGAGCAAGTCTACAACCTCATCCACAACCCAAGCTACAAATCTTCTCAAAAACCCATGTTAAGTTTATTACACCATTCTTTGCATTATTTAGTGATTGACTTTGTTGGATCTGCTATTCTAATTTAGAATTAGATTGGTCACCCCTTCAATGTTATTTTCCCTCTTCTGCTGGGCTACAGTTTCATAGGCTCCAGCAGCTTTCCAGTGACTGGCCATCTTGTGTTATGCCTAGATGATCGTTCTTAGTGGGATTTGCAACTGCAAAAAGTGTCATCCCTGTGAGAAGGCCTACATGTATGCTTTCCAGAGTAGCAGTTAGCAGCAGGCTGCTTTAAATGATTTTATTTTTCTTTGTTTTCCCTGATGCATCCTCCATGGAGTTAGTGCCTTTTGAGGCCTCTACTGCTGCTAATCTGAGATCCACACATTCCCAGTGGAGCAGCAGAGTTGGCAGTTCTATAGGAGTGTGGATATATGGACATACAGCAGTAACCTATCACTTCAACGACGTCATATTCTTTACAAACTGCCAGCTTTATGTAAGAATGTTTTTAAGCCATGGCAAGACCATGCAGTTACATAGGATCTGCAGAAAACAGGTCATTTAGCTCAAGATTTCCTTCATCTCATCATCTGATCCCATTAGCATATTAATCCAATCCCTTTTCCCACAGGTATACGTTCAGCTTCCCTTTCAGTACATCTATTACTTGCCACAACTCGTCTTTCTGGTACCGAGTTTTACATTCCAAATACTCTCAGAGGAATAGTACCATAGTGGTTATGTTACTGAGTTGGTAAGCCAGGGGCCTCGGTTAATGATTTGTTTAGATGATTTCAAATCCACCATTGTAGCTGGCTAATTAAGTGAATTAATTGAAAAAATTAAAAGGCTAGTATCAGTATGGTAACCTCGACATCATTAGATTGTTGTGAAAGTGTATCTTTAAGAGAAGGAAATCTGCTGTCCATTTGTGGTATGATTCCAGAAACACAAGATTGTGGTTGACTTTTAACTGCCCTTTGCAGCGATCTAGCAAGCCACTTGTTTGTACCAAACAGCTAAAAGCAATAGAACAAGCAGCATCAACCACTGGACTCAGAATGACAAAGCTGATGACCCAGCCTAGCTGATCTTGCAAAGTCCAGCTCATGAGCATCTGTGCCAAATTTGCAATCTTGCAGCCTAGTCAAGCAAACAGCCTGATGGTGATATTCACAGGTGCCAACCTTAAAGCAAACTTTCCAGATTTCTCCATCACCATCTGTGAGTATGTCCGATCCCAGCGGCTACACCACTGCACGCTGGGCCCCACTCACACAAACAGCCTTCGACGGCAACCTTGTATCTCCTGTCACTGTGCCAAATTTGGATCCGGTTACCCTGGATCCCATGAGCTTGTACCTTTATCAGTTTCCCATGTGGGACTTTGTCAATGGCTTTACTGAAATCCATATAAATTACATCAGCTACCCTACCCTCATCCAAACACTTAATCATCTCCTCAAAAATTTCCACCAGATTTGTTCGGCCTCACCATCCTCTGACAAACCCATGCTAACTGTCCCTGATCAAACCTTGCCTCCAAATGGAGAAGAATTTTCTCCTTCACTGTTTTCTCCAATAGTTCCTCTGCTAGTGTGGTAGAAAACTGTCCACTGCCGCTTTGTGTCTAGCTCCAACATCACTCAAGAAGCTTAATACTATCCAGGACAAAGCAGCCCACTTGCAAGACATCCCATCTGCCACCTGAAACCGCCACTTACAGGTGCGCAGTGACAGCAGTATGTCCCATCTGTAAGGGCACTGCAATCATTCACCAAACCTTATTCAATAGCAGGTCCTAAATCCACATCTAAATTACCTACCAGACAAGGGCAGTGAACATATGGGACCATCAGTCCCTGCAAGTTCCCCTCTAAGCCACACACTATCCTGAAACTGTGCAACTATGTCACTGTTCCTTCACCATAACTGGGTCAAAATCCTGGACTCCCTCCCTAACAGCACTGAGTGTAGCTGCAGCACATAAATAAAAGTGGTTCAGAACCATTTCTTGAGCAGGTTTAGGGATGGCCAATAATTGCTAGCCTTGCCAGTGATGCCCGTTATCTCATGAATGAACAGAATAAAAGGTTTTTTTTTCTGAATTTCCTAGCAATCAGGCTTATGGAGTCAAATTTTGGATGATTTGAGTCCAAAGACTTCCCATTCTTTGTCTTTTCTTCTGAACTTAGGGCAAAGATTTAAACATTCTACAGCACTTGGAGAAGAGCAATGTATAATATCCAAAAGTAATCCTGAATATTTTCAGTGGTTTCATAAAATTCCTGCACTATCTTGACAATTCGGAATGATGCATCCACCGTTCATGCAACTGAGGATTTGTTTGGTAATCCTGCTTTTATTGGGCAGCAGTCCTAATGACCTTGTGATTTAGGCAGCACAGTGGCTCAGTGGTTAGCACTGCTGCCTCACAGTGCCAGGGACCTGGGTTCGATTCCACCCTTAGGTGACTGTGTGTGGAGTTTGCACATTATCCTCATGTCTGTGTGGGTTTCCTCCCACAGTCCAAAGATGTGCAGGTTAGGTGGATTGGCCATTGCTAAATTGCCCATAATGTCCAGGGTAGGTGGGGTTAGCCGTGGGAATTGCAGGGTTACGGGGATAGGGTAGGGGGATCGGTTTGTGTGGGATGGTCTTCAGAAGGTTGGTGTGGACTGAGTGGGCCAAATGGTCTGTTTCCACTCTGTAGGGATTCTATGATTCAGTGAGACTTTAAAACTCTCAATGAGCAACTGTTCATACTAAGTGGCCTTATGAGAACCAACTGTGTTACATGGAACATCGGAGTGTCACTTGATCACTACGCAATTTGAATTCTGCAGCATGTTTGCTGTTTCCTTTCGATGCCTCTTGGTCCAGGCGATGAATGTTGACAGGCTATATAATTGCAAGTTGGCAATCATGAACAGGCACCTGGTCTGATTTCTTGCTTTCTTCACTCACTTATACCATCCTGCCCTGCTGAAAGCATTAGCTGCTGTTTTATAAGGATGGAGATGCACTCACTGGTCAGTTTGTTGTGTGTCTCTAATCTTTCTTTTTTGGCAATCACTGACTAATGATGATTGTCCATCTAGGGAATTCCATGTCACTGGTCATTGAGTTCTGTGGGCCTTGTGGGGCTGATGAGCCCAATCCTAGAGCTGCAACTCTGACCACATATTTGGCAGGTGTTTCTGGGAGGCGGAAGTGGTCTTTTGCCTTGACATCAGTAGCATTTCTTCCTCCAGTTCCACATATAGAGCAGGGCTGAATGCACTGGCACGTACGGCAGGTAAATCTCACTCCTTGGAAACATGGGACAGGAAAAACCCTTTGCACCTGCATAATGCATTCTCCTGGTTTATGTCATAGTTTAGACAGAACCTTCAGCACTGTGAATACAATCGACAAGTCTGGACAACATGGGGCCATTTCTAGATACTGACTGATAACTATTGGTCCTGTAGGATACTAGTTCTCTGTAATCAAGAAAACTCAGTTTCAATCGCAATTCTGTATTCATGTTGCCGCCAAATCCTTTGTCTCCAAATGTTGCAATGCCTGATATTACAATCAAACATTACCGTGTTTTCATGGTGTCTGTGCTTGTACAAAATAGGATAAAAATCTTTGAATGTGACAACATAGAAATAAAGCAGTTATTGACACTAGACTGGAAGTATTAACTCTGATTTTTTTTTCATCACAGATGCTGTCAGACCTGCTGAGCTTCCAGTAACTTCTGTTTTCTTCCTGATTTACAGCATCCGCAGTTCTTTTTTTTTCAGTTATCTCATCGTGTCTATGTCAGCTGTTTGCAATTTGTTCCAATCCCTTGTCCTATTCCCATAACCCTACAAATTTTGTCTTTTTGAAGAATTTGTCCACTCCCCATTTTGCAAGGTACTACTGAAACTGCTTCCACTGCCCTTTCAGGCATTGCATTCCACATCATAATTATTTGTCGCATGAAAGGAAATGCTGTTTGACCCCTCTGTTTACCATTTGAAATCTGGGTCTTCTATGAAGTGACCTTCCCACCAGTAAAAACAATTGACTCTGTATTTATTTAACCAAAACCCTTCCGTTTTTGAACACCTTTATTACATCTCTCCTTAACATAGTCTGATCGAAAAAAGTAGGTTCTTTTAAAAGAGCATATTTTGTAAAGAACTTCATGCATCAGAACATTTGGGTGAGTTATTGACAAGTGCAAATTACCCAAAGATGGAAGACCTTGCTTTCCTGCAGTTGGCAGGGGAGTGGTAAACTTATCTTGCTAGATTCAGTTAAGTAATTTTATAATATGTAATTGAAGGTCACGTTAGAAAATTGCGACAGCACCTTTTCTGTACTGGCAACATCCTTCTGTTAACAGTGAGTACCTGCCAAATTTTGCAAAAAGCAGGGAGAGACAAAAAGCAACACAGCAAGTATAAGATAAAAGCAACTATCACGTGTCACTGGGTAGGGTGCTGGAGATCAAGCCCTGCTACTCCTGGAGTTGTCACAAAAGTTACATTTTTACAAAGTATGCAGAATTCCCTAATGTGTACCTATCTTTTAGACCCAGGTTGACAGAAAGTGGACCAGGTTCTGTACGTATTACTTTGTAATATATAGTAATTTGTATTTAGACTAAAGCTACAGGTAAATAATTCTGAACTAATGTCCTTTAGGGAGGTAAATGCCAACCTTACCTGGTCTGGCCTACATGTGATTCCAGACTCACAGCAATGTGGTTGACTCTTAACTGCCCTTTGGGCAATTAGGGAAGGGCAATAAATGCTGGCCTAGCCAGACATGTCTTCATCCTGTGAACGAATTTAGAAAAAAAACTACCAGCATGTAATTCTGTCCCAAGTTAGCTTTGAGGCAGTGGTGTTGAGCTACTGCCTTGAACTGTCTATATGGTATAAGCACACCCACAGTTTGTCAGAAACGAGGAGCTTCTAATGCTACTTGAGAGGGCAGTTATGAGTCAGTCACTAAGATGAAACAAAGAACCATGAATGCTGAAGAGCTGAAATGAAAACAGAAATCGCTGGAGAAACTCTCAGTTCTGGCAGCATCCGGAGAGAAAGCAGAGTTAAACGTTGGAGTCCAGTGACCCTCCGTTCTGAAGAAGTTCTTCAGTTCTGACTGCTGAATCCCCTTTCAATGTCTTGCTACAGTAAATAATGGAGGTACAGACCCTTAGCTCCAGAAATATGAGTTTATATTGCAAATATATGAAAGCCTACACTCTTGCAATAACAATGACCTGTAATTATAGAACTTGGTTTGACCTCAAAAAAAAATTAGTTTGAAGGAAAAATCACTGGAGACGCTAGAAATCTGAAATAAAAATGGGAAGCACTGTGAATAATCAGCAGGCCTGACAGCATCTGTGCAGAGAGACACAGTTAACATTTCAATTTGGTGATCCATTATCCGAAGGAGTGAGAGTTTGAAAGTTGGAGCGGTTTAGGGAGGGGATTACAGTTTCAGGCCTGGGCAACTGATTTCCTGTATTGTGTAGTGTATCACAAGCTGTTGACCGACAAGCTCGATCAATGTGGTCCTAACGGATTACTGACATATGCATCCATGCAAAATGCTATCTTTTCTTTCACACTTGAGCTAGAAAATCATTTAATTAAAGAAAAAATCTTCAGTGAAGATTTTGGTTGTGATCTTGGAGTATTAGCCCCGAGGATTAGAAATTAACAGGCAAATAAACAATACTGAGATGTTATAATCTAAATAATTAGCCTCTGCATTACAAATTCAGAAACGTTTGATGCACTGCTCTTTCCCTCATGCCTCCAGTCTTTTTTTTTCTCTGTGAAATGTCCATGCAGCTCCCTTTTGAATTTATCCACAGTCAACAATCCACCTATCCGTTCACTACCTCGCTACGAAGCTTGTGTCACAGCCTCTATTTGTAGAGATGATAATTGACGTGTTGGTGGTTTTAGTTGGGTTACTCGTGCATTACAGTCTTGAACACCTTGATCAATTCAGATTGAGCTTTAACAAAGATGTGGACTAACTGACTCTGCTACCTTAAATGAGTAATCAAAAGAACAGGATGTTAGAACTAATCCTTTAATTAAAATAGTTTTGACTTTAACAGTGATGTTAATGAGTTTTAATCTTCCCCTTTTTTGGATACTGGCAACCCAAAGTAAGCCTGCTCCAGTCAGCTCCCCTCCCTTAGGAAGCCAGGCAATAACTCTAGTCTCTTCATTTGATCCGTCCATCTACATGTTGTAAAACTGCATGCAGTTGAACTCTGTACTGATGTACGGGTTTGGTGTAATGGTGACTGACAACAATCTGCTTTCTATCTTTTCCAGGGGAATCCGTTACCTTAGCAAGTGCTGCAGGGAGCGCTATGAAATGATTGTCCAGTTACTGAGTCAGGAGAGACATGATGTCGTCCTGCTGCAAGAGGTGGGCTTAATTTCTCCTGTAAGACCCTCGTTATTGTTTTACAGCAGTTCTGCAGTCTGCTTATCATTCCAGTTTTGGATCAGGTTTTTGGAGTCCTGTTATGGGCAAGTGGTCAATGTGAAAGACAAGGAGAGAAACTGGAAACCAATAGCCCTTGGACCCATTGCTAGGGCACCAGGGGTGGTTGGGGGTGCTCTGTGTGTCGTCATAACACAATAACTGGCTGAGGTGGAAGAAGTCAAAGAGTGATCCATTTAAATGAAAGCGTATCAAACTTCCATGAAGTTGCAAGAATGTTACTGAATTAGTAAATGTGATCCTGGGTCATACTCTTTAAGTCACCAGGTAATCAGAACTGAACTCCAACTTTTCTGTATCAGGGAAATGAATGATATGCTGGTTTTCTTAAGTGATATTAGTGTGAACTGTTATTGAAGAAGCATTCTGGTAAAAAGAAAATGTATAAACTCCATATGGTCCCACTACTTGCATTAAGCGAGTAGTTGGCATTATAAACATTTTTCATTTACGTAGAAACTAATTACAGTTGTAACTCAACATTTTTTATTTGTTCATGCGATGTGGGAATCACTGGCTAGGCCAACATTTATTGCTTATTCCTAATTTCCTTTGAGAAGGTGGTGATAAGCTGCTGCCTTGACTTGCTGCAGTCCATCTGATAAGTACATGCTCAGAGCTGTAAGGGGCTTCAAAGATTTTGACTCGGTGACAGTGAAGGAACAGTGATGTAGTTCCAAATCAGGATGGTATGAGGCAAGTGATGGTGTTTCTATGCAGCAGCTGCCTCTGTCCTTCAAGGTGCTAGGACCTGTTGATTTGAAAGATGCTGTGAAAGGAAGCTTGGCAAATTACTGCAACATCTTGTGGATGGTATATGCTACTGCTATGATGCACTAGTGGAGGAGGGATTATAAACAGGGTACAAATCGAGCAGTCCGCCTTAACTGGAATGGTCGTATGCTTAGAAAGAGGCCATTTGGTCCATCAGGTCCCTGCAAGGCAATCTAATCCCACTACTCCACTTTCTCTCTGTAGCCCTAAAAATTCATTCCCTTGTTTCGGCCATCCAATTTCCTTTCAAAATCATTGATTGCTTCCACATCCTCCATCCTTGTGGACAGATAGTTCCAGGTTGTTACCACCCTCTGCGAAAAGAAGTTCTCTCTCACATTCCCCCTGCATCTCTTTCCCAAAACTTTAAACCTATGTCCCCAGGTCCCAGTACAATAGGACTGTTGTCCACAGTGTGCTAAATACGACAGCTTTCCTTTAGCACAAGTGTAGGTTTTTTTATTGTATTGTAGAGATGTATGTTAACCCTGACATCCAGCTAGTTTTCTGATGGTGAAGCATGTCTATTATGGGCCTTTAATAGCCTGTGGTGCAAAACCCTGAGACCACTTCAGTCCCGGTTGCGTTGAATGAAATAGGCAGGTGTGCACCCAGTTTTAGTTTTCATTTGTACACGGGATGTGGAGCTCGCTGGTAAGGCCGTGATTTATTGTCCAGTCCTAACTGCCCTTGGGAAAGTGGTGGTGAATCACCATCTTCCATACAACAAAGTGGCTTGCTACACCCTTTCATAGGACAGTTACTAATCAATTCAATTGTTGTGGGACTGGATTCAGGTGCAAGCCTTATGCAGGCAAGATCATTACTGAAGCAGATGGGTTTTCACAAAAATTCACCATTATTGATGCTCCTTTTTGATTCCAGAATGATTTAATTAATTGAATTTAAATTCATTTTGAGGCCTGCAGGGTATTCCTGAATACTTTGTAACTGTCACTACATCAGTGGGAGCAGCTGGGAATGTGCTCTGAATCTGTTTCCAGTCAATAATATACATGAAGCCAAATGACTGAGGGTGGGGATTATAAAAAGTCAGAACAAGAAACTATCAAAGCATTGTATGAATACAATTTGATCATGTCTCAAAAATGTCTCAAGGCACTTCAAACAGATTTGATCAGTTTTGAATTTAGAAACTTTTGTCACTTGAATATTAGTTTGTTCATCACAAGACCCCACAAGTGAATGAAATAAATAGCCAATTTTAATGGTGGGATTGTGAAAGAGGTATTGGTTGGAATACAGTGAAAATCCTCTCCTTGTCCTTAATCTGACAGCGTTGAGTTTTAGTTTAGCAAGCTACGCAATGATTGGCACCTTTAGCCATGCAATACTAGTTTTGCTATACACTGCATTAATAAATAATGCACTAAAATTATAAAAAGAGAGTTTAAAAGCTAATCCTTCTGCCCTGTTGATAAGAGTTGTTAGCCATGGCACTTTCATCTCTTGGTCACAAGTCCTATCCCAGTCACTTGAGTACATCTGTCGCTGTGCACTATGAAGGGAGTGCTACACAGTCAGACCTCCCATCTTTCAAGTGAGGCTTCATACAGTGACCTCCTCAGGTGGAAATAACAACTTTATAGGATTATTTTAAAGGCAAGCAGAGGCATTCTCCTTGATGCCCTGTCCAATATTTATGCATCAACTAATATCAGATTTTCTGATTTATTGTCATGTTATGGTGTTTGCTGTAAATAGGTGAGCTGCTGCATTTCCAACTTTGCTGCAGGAATTACACTTCAAACCTCCTTTGTTGGCTTTGAGGTGCTTTGGAATGTACGGAAAGTGCAAAAGATGCTATATAAATGCAAGTCTTTTACGACCAATGGAGGTGACATCTCCGAAGCAAAAGAGCAGAAATGTAGACTGGATGTTATTTTGTTTTGCAGGTGTGGAGTGAAAAGGATTATCATTTCTTGAGAAGCAAATTGACAAATACCCACCCTTATTCAGTGTATTTTAGAAGGTATGCAATTATTTCTGTTCCAAAGAGATTCTCAGATCAAGGTGTCTTCTGCCTTTTGAAAGGAACTGCTAGGCAGAACAAAAGAATTAGGAAATTATACACTGCATGCAATCAGATGAGCAAAGAACATGAGGGGGTGGCTCAGTGTATGAGTCTGAACAGGTCGTGATTTATTTTTTAAAAGTCAAAGCATTTTAAGGCTTTACTCCCATTCTGGAAATGGGTTGTATTGTAGGAAGGGCAGTGGTGAATATTGGGATTGCAGCAGGATACCTCGCCTTTCCCATGTTTACAGGACATGCTGTACATTTCCAGTAGGTTCTGTTTGATATCATGTCAACAGGGCATGGTGGAGATAAGCAGGCTGTATCTGTTAATAGGAGAATTGGACACAGTGCACAAACTTAGCAATCTCTGACCGAGTGGATAAAGTTCACTAATAAACTGCACTATTCCAGTTCGTGTCTCATACCAGAGGACTTCATTTTGGTGTATTCCACAGCTATCTTGTTTGTGAATGGTGGAGAAGAGGCGAAGATTACTGGGTACAATATCAGTTTAGGGATGCAACAGAGGTGTGTTTTTAAAAGTGGAGAGTGGTGAGAACAGTGCTTGGGAGTTGGCAACCCCAAAGTAGGTGGTTCACCCAGAGAGTTCCAAGGGCATGGATGCCTGGCTGATCTTGGTGGCAGCACCTCGTTTAAATGAAGGGTACTCGATCACTGTGAGAGGTTAAGGGTGGGAATTCTCTGACAAGTGGACACAGCCATTGGATCTGTGGGTAGGCTCCATGGCAGTCTGTGGGATGGGAAGGTCTGAAGGAAATTGACAATAAGGCTACATCCATGGACTCCTTACGAGCCCACAGGGATGTGCATGGGGCACTCCAGCTCCTTCTGAAGCTTGGAGTCTGAAAAGAAGTACATTTGCAGAGTTAATGTGGTCTTTTCTGACCAATTGGCATCTCTGACTGTCAGGCTGCAGACAGTGTGAGATTTCTTTTGATGTTACAGCACTGTGATGTCGGTGGGGAGTGTGCAGTGGTTGGACTAAACGGCGATTCCTGTTCGTGTGTTTTGCTTTGTTTCTGCCACAAGTGAAAACAGATGAATGTTGAAATGAATGTTAAAGCTGATGAGAATGGTTCTGTCTGACCACTGGACCAGTATTCAGAATGTGTTTCATTGACTCTCTTTCAGTGGAGCTATAGGAAGTGGACTGTGCGTCTTCGCCAGATACATAATAACTGACTCCTTCCTCTACCGCTACTCCCTGAACGGTTATCCTTATAAGGTACAGTGGTTGCGTTTTTGGCAAGGATCAAATCAGAAGCAAACTCCTAATCGATGGAATCTTGCTTCTTGGGTAGTGGTTCCATTTTATCTGGTGCAGTTTGAATTATAAAGTCTCCTGATGACTCAGCTGATTAAGGGAGAAAGTCACAAGCACATACCTTCAAGAGGATCCCTGATGTGATCTTTGTTCAGTGTTGAATTCAGCCTATTTAGGGATAGGAAGCCAGTAACTAACTGAGCTGCAGAGAGAATGAACTTGTCCTGAGGTCATCTCTGACCAGTGATATTTATAATTTTGAGCAATATTTTGAGGAGAACCTAAGGCTTTGCAATGATTTTGAGATCACGGGTCCCTCCAATTGCACAAAAGGCCTACAAATGTAAAATACTGCAGATGCTGGAAGTCTGAACTAAAAGCAGAACATGGTGGGCATGCTCAGTGGGTCTGGCAGCATCTGTGCAGAGATTAGTAAACTTTCCCAGACTCACCATCCAGAATCTCTCAATCAGCATTTGGTCAACATGTTCCAGTGAAATGGATTTCCACGAGGGGATAATGGAGATAAGATTAACAGAGAAAGGAAAGTGAAAGAATGTCTGTATCCTGCACGGAGCAAAGTATTTGTAACATATAATCCGCCGAAGAAATTGCACGTTGGGACTTCAAGCAATGTTTGGCACTTTTGAGATGCATCCAGTACTGTAGACCCTCAGAGAGCAAGGTCTCAGCATCCTTCTGCCCATCTTCATTGCCACAGTGATAATGCACAGAATTTTTACAGTTCAGTAACGCTCTAATAGAAAACTAACCCAAAGTCCTGTCTTTTAGTTGCACCATGGTGACTGGTTTGGCGGGAAATCTGTCGGCTTAGTTATTCTGAACGTAAAAGACGTTGTCATTCACGTCTATGTCACACACGTAAGTGGGAGTTGAGAATTCAAGCTGGCTGTGTGTCGGTGAAAATGGCAATGTAAGCAGCACGTCCACTGGCTAGCTCTCTCACGTGCATGAAATCATAGCCTTTTAACAGTGTCCGTCTGCCTCTGTGCCTGCCCTGTCACTAGCTGCCATATGATGGTCAGGCCTGCTTCACTCTCAACTACTCTTATGTCACGTTCTGTGTTTCAGTTCATGTTTGTACCCTTCGGTTTCCCCTTACCTTGGCTGGCTGGCTTGCTCGCTCGCGCTCTCATCCTCCCCCCTCTCTCGTCCCAAGTCTCCAAACCAACTCCTCCAGCTCTCATTCTATGTTTCTTGCCTTTCACACTGATCTCTTGCTCCTGCTCTCCTTTCTGTCTGCCACCCCTACGTGCTGTCCTGCCAGCTCTCTTGCAGTTCCTCGCCTCATTGACCTGAAGTCCAATTTTTGTTGGTTGATAATGTGCTCTTGGCATTTCCGCTGCTACTTCTCTCCTGTTGTGCAGCTTCACGCCGAGTACTGCAGGGAAAAGGATTATTACCTCCCGCACCGTTTGCTGCAAGCCTGGGAGCTAGGACAGTTTATACGGTAAGACAGCTGCAAATCCCGAGCCGCTGATCCTTGCTGGAGACCCCAGGACGTCCTTTCAGCACTCATACCTTCTCTTTGTTTGACAGGCACACGGGCAAAACAGCAGATGTTGTAGTTCTGGGCGGGGATTTGAACATGCATCCTTGTGACTTGGGGAACCGACTCCTTCAGTGCTACACGGGGATGAAGGACTCATTCTTGGAGACCGAACAATTTGAGGTAAGCTTGTGTCTGAAACTCTGATGGTGCCTTTCGTGTCCTCAGACTGTCTCAGACCAGTGCAGAGTTCCTTCAAGCGATTTTTGCATAGAAAACTCCCAATAAAAACCAGGTGACGAGGATGAGATGATCGGTTTTGTGTGTTGCCGAGTGACAAATATTGAGAGAATTCCCTTCAATTCTTCGAAGTGGTAGAATATTTTGGGTCTACAAGAGAGAGGAGATGGGATGTTTGTTTAACAATGCTTTTGAAAGATACCACAACTAAGTACAGCACTCAATGTTGCCATGCTCAAGATGCTGGGAATGTCCTGTTTAATGAAGCAGAAGTTGAGAGGAAATTTGATTGAAATGATCAAAAGCATGAAAAGTCAACATAGAACAGATTGATAAAATCTTTTTCCATTGGCGGAAGGATCAAGAATCAGTGGGCGATAGAGTGATTGACAAAAGGAGCAATTTGAAGAAAAATATTCTTATGCATTGGCTGCTTAGGATCTGGAATGTGCTGTTTGGAAGTGTGGTGAAAACAGGTTGAAACGTGGCTTTCATAAGGAAATGTGGCAATTATTTCGAGAGAAAAGATGTAGCAGATAAAGGTGAGAGAGTAGGGCTACTACAGCGCAAATGACAGGCAGAATGCTACGTTCCTTCTTGTTGCTTTCTCTGCTGTGTAGATCTCCAAAGTTCATACAAGGCAGCATCTTCCAGAAGCCAGTGCATCGTCATGTCAGTTGGCCTGTACAGAAACTCCCAAGAGCCTCTCAGCCATGAGGAAATGGCTGAATAGTCTCTCTGAATACTCTTGAGTTTCTGTGACACTCTCTGGACTGTGAATCAAACTCTCATTATGCTGGGTCTGAGATCAGAACGTTGCTCACTGAGCAACAAATCACTCATTCACCAATCCTTGGTGACATCCCTGACTCAGAGTGACACTGAAGGCACCACGAAAGCTAGGGGAAATTCCTGGTTTTCACCGAGTGAATGATGCGGAATTTAATAGGCCATAAAGGTTTGTGCCCTGACTTTTTAAAAGGGGGGAGTATCACCTAAGGGTTTCTGTGTCAGTTGAGGGCACTGTTTCTCCCGTTCAGCTTGCCAAGTTCTTGAATGGTGAGAAGAAGCTGCAGAATATTCTGAATATAAAGGTCAGAACTCTGTGATGTTATGTTAGCGGATAATTTATTTCATAGAATCCCTACAGTATGGAAACAGGCCCTTCGGCCCAACAAGTCCACACCGACACTCGGAGCATCCCACCCAGCCCTATCCCCCTTTAACCCCCCTAATCTAGGCATCCCTGAACATTACAGGCAATCGAGCATGGCCAATCCACCTAACCCGCACATCTTTGGACTGTGGGAGGAAACAGGAGCACCCAGAGGGAACCCACGCAGACACGGGGAGAATGTGCAAACTCCACACAGACAATCACCTGAGGGTGGAATCGAACCCAGGTCCCCGACGCTGTGAGGCAGCAGTGCTAACCACTGAGCCACCGTGCCACCCTGTCCGGTAGCTGAACTGGTTTATTTTTATTTACACAGCCAGATAAGTAGAAACGTAAGGCCATGCAGCCCCTTAAGCTTGCTCCACAGTTCAGCAAGATCTTGGCTGAATTGTCCCAGGCCTCAAATTTTCTTTCAGCTCAATTTAACCTTCAACCACCTGATCTTTCAAAAATCTATCTACCTCTTTCAAATGCTTTTTCTGATTTTAGCCTGAAGCAGGCCATTCGGCCCATTGAGTTTTCTCCTCCGAAGAGCATCCCACCCAGACCCACCCCCCTACCCTATCCCTGTAACCCTGCATTTCCCATGCCAATCCACCTAAGACACCTGTTTGCAGGCAGTTGCTTAACGTTTCAAACACAGGGCATCACTGATCTAGACAACTCTGCAAACAATCCACAAGGTATACAGTGCCTGTACTGAGAAAAGAATAAACAAAGTGACACTGTAGAGAGCTAATCGAATCCTTGCCTGAAATGTCAGCTCTCGCCTGGCAGCAGACAGGACCAATGACAGGGGTTTGTCAGCTGTGGTCCAGTTGGTTGTGGTCCTCTTGACTCCTGACCCAGAAGTTTTATGGATTCAAATCCTGCTCGAGATCTGACTGCACAATCTCAGCTGGCACTTCAATGCAGGACTAGAATCCAGTCTTCCCAATCTGATAAAGTGCATGGCCTTCTCCAGGTATTCTGGCTGATACTTGTCCCATAATCAGCACCACCGAAACCATTGCTGTCTGAGGAGCTTTGCAGGATGTGTGTTGGCTACCTTTGGGATGTTCTACAGTAATGAAAGGTGCTTTGTCAATGGAAGGTCATGCTTTCTTCATTTAGCTCCGCTGTTGAGAAGGTTTTCATTTCCAGAGAAAAGAGGATGACCCTGCCTTTTTGTGAGATGGTGTTCTTTCCTCAGACACAAAACGTAAATTATGGTGGGAATGGCCCTTGGCATCCGTAACAAATTGGAAGAAGTCTTTTGTGTTGCAGGAGTCGGCTCCTAGCAGCTGTGACAGATACAGGCTGATAAGTGAATGTTTTTGGCCAGTGGGACCTGAGCCGTTGGAGCAGGCTACAACTAAACTTGAGAGAGGTGGCTTTTGTTAACCTACAGCAGTTTCAATCACCGCATGTTTGTTCTGGGAGCCAGTCACCCCTGCGCAACCAGCAGCTACAGCGACCTATGCTTATATAGTCCCTTTAACATCATAGAATGTCCGATGGCATTTCACAGGAGCCAATTTTATTATAATGTGGCGATAAGAATGTGCACATAGGAGCAATGGATTTTAAGAGCTCTCATAAACAAGGAAAGCAAGGCAGAGAGGGAGGTCTAGACCTTGGGGCCTAGACAATTGAAGACGCAGCCATCAATTGTGGAGCAATTAAAATCAGATGGTCAAGGAACCAGAAATAGAGGAGCACCACCCCCAACCCCAGATATCTGGGAGGGTTGTGGGAATGGAGGAGATTAGAGATAGGGTGAGGCAATGGTTGGAAGGATTTGGAAAGAATGGTGAGAATGTTAAAGGCAAGGCATTGGTGGACTTTAAGACAGAAGTCAATGTAGATCAGCAAGCTCAGCAGTGATAGGACAGCAGAGCTTAGTGCGAGTCACAGCAACGTTTTGGACGACCTCCAGTTTGTAGAGGTTAGAATATGGGAGACCATCCAGGAATGTGTTGGAAAAGTCAAGTCTGGAAATGATGCAAGCACAGATTAATTTGTGTCAGGTGTTACTGTGGATGCTACAGCAGCCTGCAATCTGTAAACAACATGAGCAAAAGGTAACAAGAAAGGGGAGGTTAAAATTGTTACAGAGATAGTAGGAACTGAAAGAGGG